CTATATATATATATATAGGATTACCCCTACCTTAACCCCTCCTCCCCCTTCGCTTATTCTCCCTTCCGTGCCCCTGGCTCGGGCAATGACCATTGATGTTGATATTACGACGTATATTGATGGGATAAGTAGCATTGGATCCGATTGTATTGCATTGCACTGCATTGTGTTAGGTATTGATTGCTCTCTCTGTTCTGTGCAGTCAGCAGTACTGTGCGACCTTGCTACCTACCTACTTACCAACGGCTACACCGACTCCGGCCAGCCGGGCTTTTAGATTGGGAATACGGATCTACTACGTACCTACCGTAGTGCCCTGCGTGCTTCCTCTCCCTCGGTATTTGGCTCACTTCTTTACCCTCCTCCCTACCTCCCTACCTCCCTACCTCCCTACCGACCTGCTCCAACAACAATTCTACCTATTGCTTCCCCTATTTATCGATCCGAATCAAGTCAATACGATACGATACGATCGGATTCAATTCAAGGCTGCGTCCATCTATTCAGCCAGCCGCAGCCCGAACTTCCTTTATCCTCTCTTTTTCCCTCTCTTTTTCCCTCTCTTTTTCCCTCTCTCTCTCTCTCATCCGCTGCCCCTCCAAGACCGACACAGACCGACCTCCCCAGACCTTCCAGACCCCCCCCGCCCCTTGCCCCTCGCCCGTCGCCCGTCGCCCGTCGCCCGTCGCCCCTCGCATGTCGCATGTCGTCTCTATCCACCCAGAGATCAGATGGTTTTCTCTTCGCCTAGAAATCGACAACATCACCTTACAGAGTACGTCGTCCCCTGAATTGGATCCCATCTCCACCTGGGTCACCCCGGCTAAACAGTCACTGCCTATTAAGTACTTATTTAAGGTAGTTGGGCGCCGCAGGACACTACGCGCCCTGACTCCCCCTTAGCTCTACGTCTCGGCCTCGGCCTCACGAACGCCTGACCGACCGCTCACTTTCGCGCATTCACTTCTTCACTTCATTCCCAACCCAACCCCAACAACATCCAACCCACCCACCTCCCTCCACCCCCTTTCCCCCCCCCGCCCCAGAATACATACCGGTACAACTCGGCCCTGGATTACTTTATCCCATAGCAGGATAGTGAGGCTTATCGCCGGCCCGCCTTTCTTCTCCTCTCGATAGGCATCAGCAATCATCCATCTCCTCCTCTTGTTAATTTACAACGACTCTAAGAACCATCCCTGGGTCGAGTGCACATTACCACCATGTCGCTCGCCCAAACAGATGGAGCAGGTCAGTTCTCCTTTCCCCGTCCGTGAGAGACACATTTCCATCCCTATTTTAGAGAGCGCTTCGACATGCTCCCACGACCTCCTTAGTCCCACTTATGGTAGGGTCTGGTGTATCACATTGGCAGTCGTTCTGTTTCAACTCCCGGCCAACTCTCGTCATGGACATGGACATGGACATGACATGGACATGAACATGGACATGCATGAATCCGCCTGCTAATGAGATCCTTTTGGAATATAGATTCTGCACGCTCCCACCCGTTGCAACTCAACCTCTCTTCGAACAATCCCTTTCGCAATCGGGCTGCTTCTCCTGCTCCCAGCGGTCAACTCTCACCACTCGACGCTCCTCCAAGACCCGTGTCGCGAAACCCATTCCTTGACTCTTCCGTAGAGCTATTACAGCCAGCCACCTATTCCGGAAGACCTATCGATTCTCCTAGCAACATGCCTTCTGCTCAGCCAAGACCTGCACTGAGTGGTGCTGCCGCCGATCTCTTTGTACGTTATACTACTCCAATTTAAAGACTGTTGTATTCTCTCAACCAGTTGATCCCTCCAGTTTGCTTCATAATTTGGTCGCAAGCTATCTTGTGGAGTTGAATTAAATGGAAGCTGAGGTGGAACATCGTTCGCTGATCGAGATACTGCAGGATAACCTGACCCTCGACGACAAGCCTAAGGGCAGCAATATCACGCGCCCTCCCCCCTCTCGACCCAACGCTGTTGATAAGATGCCTCCTCCATACACAACCCGTGGCGAGAACATCCCACCCCCAGGGGCCTCCAAAAACTCACCTGGTCATCGTCCGTCTCGATCTGAAGAGGAAGCTATGCGTGCTCGCAGGCTGGCTGGGGGATCTAAAAGCAGGCCCATGCTACGAGAGGAAGTGGACATATTCGCCGACCCTTCTGACTCATCACCGGGACGGAGATCCGGTTCTAGACGCCCTCGCCGAAATTCCGATTCTTCAATCATGAGCAAGACGATGGACTCCGAGGAAGAGAGGAGGCGACAGGAGAGGAGGAGACGTGAACGCCGAGAGCGACGAGACCGTGAAGCAAAGGATCCCAAGAGAAAGCCCGACCGAAAGCTAGACATCATCGATAAATTAGATGTTACGAGTATCTATGGCACTGGATGTGAGTAGTTGAAGTCTCTGACGTCTGTGGGCAAACTGACAAACGTATAGTATTCCATCATGATGGCCCATTCGATGCTTGCAATCCCCACCGAAACCGACAGGGCAGCAGACGTGCCCCAATGCAGGCATTCCCTAAGGATTCATTGAACAATATCATGGGAGGCGGAGGACCACTAAACAAGAGGCCTGATCACTCTACTTTCCTTGGAAACAACGACGAGGAGGCTTTCAAGGACTATTCCAAGGGCGGTGTTGGGCTCAATGGCTTTGAGTCTTACTCCATGGACGGCTCTAGATCCGGTAAACAGCCAGATGTACACAGCGCCACCACCCGAGTAGAGCCAATCCACGGAGACGAGTCACTTGGTCTGGGAACTTCGACTTTCTTGGAAGGAGCCCCCGCTTCCCGAGCGGCATTACAGCGCCGAACTAGTGAGCACGCATCGCCAAACGAGTTCGGCGGTGGCTTGGGTCGTAAGAAGTCATTGGCTCAGAAGATCCGTGGGATCAATGCCCCCCGACGTGACTATGGCCCATCCGGTAGAGCTACAAACCCCGAAGGAGCGTACTACCCCGAAATGCGTACACCTGGCGGCAACAAAGTCAGCGAGTCCAACCCCTTCTTCAACGAGTTCAGCACGGGTGATGACACTACTAAAAAGGGGGGCGTAACTTTTGTTGAGCCGGAGCGAACTGGTAGAGCTCGCGCACCAAGCAGCCCAGGACAACGCTACGGCGATCGCCTTGAGAGGAATGCTACAAACGACTGGAATGACCCCTCTATGCCACCATCCGTCACTCCGAGGATGGGCGGTGGGTTCTTGTCACGCGTCAAGTCTCTGAAGGGTGGCCCGAGAAAGCCCAAGGTTGATCGGCCCATGCCACAAGCGTGATTCTTGCAACCCCGGCGAAGAACAGAACGAACCATACCGCGAGCATACAGCCGTGGAGTGCATATTCCCTATGGATGACCGAATCTCATTTCCCCTACACCTTCTGTCTCTAGATACTTTTCCTGCTTATTCCTTCTTGGATAGCATGGTTGGAGATGGACCAGGAGGTCCGCACCATGACCGGTTGACTCTTGGTCACGCTAATTTTTCTTTTTTCGCTCGACGAGTCTTTGAAAAGATCACAATTCAATGAGACTGAGGAGATGAGTTGTGTGTGGGGCGCCGAGGCCTCAATCCGTTTGGTTCTAGATTTCGTTACACGCCATTGGGAGGGACGCAGGCGCAGGATGGATGAGTTCTTTGTTCCTGTTTTGCGGACCTCCGTTTCCCTGAGAGATGAGTTGTGTAGACGGGTACGATGGGAGGGGCAAGGAATACTTTGGGTGATGATACCAGGCAGCCGGCGTACGCAGGAGCGGTGGCGACGAGGCTCTCGAGGGAGCGAGAGAACTAAAGTGATTTGGGAGTTAAATTGACTGACTGCATGAATGAAATGACGATTCAGTCTCTGGGTTTCGTTTCTTCGGTGACGCTTGGGGTTTGTCTGCTGCAAGTGACCGTTCCGTCGGCTTTAATTGTTGCGGTTGCATGCCAGGCTAATGTAGGGTTCCACGGCCTGTATTGCTTGCTTGCCATTTCTTGCTAGGCGGGCCTGGGCGAGGCTCTTATTTTTTTTTTTCTTTTCTTTTTCTTTTTTTTTCTTTTTTTTTTTCTCAAAAACGTGTGTGTGCGTGTACGTAGTATGTATTATATTACTCCTCTATCTTTACCTTTACTTTTACTTTTACCTTTACCTTTACCTTTACCTTTACCTTTACCTTTGCCTTTACCTTTACCTTTACTGACATTTACGGAAGCGTGCTCTCCACCAGCCAAGAGCCAGGCCGAAGTGGCTGGGGAGATTGTCTGTTGCATCTCGCAGCAGAATTCACTTTTCACTTCGGCTACCGTATATACGTCTCCAAGCCCACGTGGGCAGACAGATACCGTAGCGAGCGGATACGGTCCCGTACGGTACGGTACCGGTCCTCCACTCACCTTTTCCCTCGCCAGTTTCAGCTAGAGCGCACCTGTTGCACATCGCCGTCTTGTTTCCTCCGGGGAAGCGAGCCGGCCGTCACAGTACGTACAGGCCTCGCGCCGATGTAGCGAACCAGCCAGAGCGCCGAGCCGAGCCGATCCGATCCGATCCGATCGATCGATCGCGACGGCTTGCGGAGCTGGTGCCGTCTTACAGGTACGGTACCGACCGACCGTCTCAGAGAGGGAGGGTCGTTTGGCAGATCGATTTCATCAATCAATCAATCGTGCTCTGCGCGCGCCTCGGTGCCGGCTCGGGGACTCGGGGCTGGGAGATGCGGCTGTGGGTTGTGGCGCGACTGGTTGGTTGGTTGGCCTTGGTATGTGGGATCCCGAGCGCGGGGAGGAGCGTGGGGTGGTGAGAGATGTACGGTGGAGAGTGTGGTCGGTCGGAGAGGAGGGAAGATGAGGTTGGTGGATGATAAGTAAGTAAGTAAGTAGGTGGTCCTGTTGGCAGCCGTGGACGCCATGACGTTGTGGGCGGATGCCTGTCGGCCGGCATGTGAGATGGCTCGGAGGTTCTGTTGCATGTCGTAGAAATGGCCAAGTTGAGACCAAGAACGTGGTCGTCGACTTGTCGGTCGGGCCGCTCGCAGGGAAGACGGGGAGACGGGCAGACGGGCAGACGGGCAGACGGGCAGAAGGGCACAAGGGCAGACGGGCACAAGGGCACAAGGGAAAAAAAAGGGTCAAGAGGCAGTCACGTCCATGCGGCACTTGGCACCCATCCTGCCCAGATCTTCCCAGAAGCTTATTTCGCCCCAGACTCGGCCTGAGGTACGGTACCGGTAGATATGAAGTTCACTAGCTTACTTACTAATACTGTAATACTGTACTGTATTAGACGGACTGACTGTGCTTCTCTCTAACTTTTCTTCTTCTTCTTCTTCTTCTTCTTCTTCTTCGTCTTCTTCTTCTTCGTCTTCGTCTTCTTCTTCTTCTTCTTCTTCTTCTTCTTCTTCCGCCAAGTCTCTCGTCACTTTCTCGATCACCTTCAACCCGTCTGGATCACTTCCCACTTGGCGGCTGCTGCTGCTGCTGCTGCTGCTGCTGCTGCTGCTGCTGCTGCTGTTGCTGCTGCTGCTGCTGCTGCTGCTGCACGTCGCAATCCCGGCCAAGCAACCAATACATCCACTCAGGTGATCCACTCCATCGACGAGCTCGTGCCGGGTGCGACCACAGAGATGGGCAGGCGGGCGGGCTGGGCGTGGCCTTCCTGCACATGCCGTTTGACAGAGGCCGCGGGAAGTTGGCGTGCTTCCCTCCTTCCTCTCCAGCCAGGGATGCCGGCCGTCTTTGTTGCACGTCGCAAACACGGCCAAGGAGATACCGGAGGAATGCATGTTCGAATTCTGCAATTCACTCCGTCCGAGTGCCGAGCTTTGCTTCACCGATCGGCGCGGGGTGGTGGGAGTCGGTTGTGGAGAGCTACTACGCCTTACGAGTGGGCTTCTGACGGAAGATCAATTTGCAACTGAGTCATGCGCACATGTTTACCGAGGCGTGACTGACGGTGAGGGTGAGGGTGAGGGTGAGGTGAGGGTAAGAGTAAGGGTGAGGTGAGGGTAAGAGTAAGGGTAAGGGTTGAGGCCACCGGCTAACATTCTGTCGAGGCTGGTAATCGACCGGTTCCATTCAATATCGTGAGATGGGAAAATGGAAGAAAGACGTCTTCGCCCCATGCCAAGCTAAGGGACACGACTGATACGGAGGAAACAGGAAACGGGGAACAGGAGTCATAACATGATGATTCTCACCTTCACCCCCTCACTGCAAGGTCCTACGGGAAGGGAAGGGAAGGGAAGGGAAGGGAAGGGAATGGATGAGTGAGTGAGCCTGCAAACTTCAGTTTGCCGCTCCGCTTCGTGGGCCTGGCTGGGCCTCTGATGGCATGAGACGAGCGTCAGTGCACGCTCGGGAATCGAGATCGGAGGCGTCAGAGGGGCGGTCGTGACGTTGCTTGCATCTACCTATCTGAACGCAAGATCATCATGTGTATATTTACGGTACAGTATCGACTTTGATAGGACGATGTATTCTGACCCGCGGATTGTGTTGCACTTCGCAGAAAACGCCCAGCAGACGACGAGTGCTGACGATGGGCGTGCGAAGTCTTGGTCTTGGTCTTGGTCTTGGTCTTGGTCTTGGTCGTGGAGACGGGCTCGTAACGGGCAGTCAGACAGATCCTTCGTGACGAGGCCTTTGCCGACGCGGCACCAACCACTACGTCGGATCATTCCTTCCAGAGCAAGCCGCTTCCAGCTTCCAGCTTCCAGCTTCAAAGATCGGCAATTTGGTGCGAAGTCAACTTCGGCTTGTTGCAGTTCGCAGTTGATGCCAATCAATGACTTGGCCGTATCACTACCAAATCCGCAGTTGGCCGGCCTCTGGAACGAACTTCAAGCACAGCACCCGAGCCGCCAAGCTATTTCGAGAATGCAGGATGGGCTGAGGATGCCAGCCAACGCGATGCCAATCCTGCGCACGCATTTCGGTCATTGGTGAGAGACGAACAGACTCTCTGACGCTCGCTGTTCTTGTTGCCCGGCTCGCATTTGCCCAAGGGCTTGGACTCATGCTAGCTCGCTAGACTCACGCGCGGGCTGGATCCGTCGCCGGCAACACACAAGTTACAGCCTGCCTGACACGAGTTGATCCCCATTATTACTCATGCCAACTTGGTCGTGCAGAGATGCATCAATCAGCGTCGGTAAGTCAGTACAAAGACAGTCTCTTGTTGCACGTCGCGATGAGTGCCAACTCTTGGCTTCTTTCTCGGTGACTGACGGTGTCCTCGGTGGAATGACTGAATAAATGAATGAATAACGGTCTCCTCGGAGGAATGACTGAATGAATGAATGAGTGAATGACGGTCTCCTCGGTGGAATGAATGACTGACTGAATGAATGAATAACGGTCTCCTCGGTGGAATGAATAAATGAATAATAAACGAATGAATGAATGGATGAATAGGAACAGAACCATGGAGCCGACCCAGCCAAGACTGCCCGCCATACTCCTACAGCGAAAATCAAGTCAAGTCAAGCCTGACTGATTGGCTACCATGAGTCCTTGTGCAGTCCGGGGAGAGAGAGAGAGAGAGAGAGAGAAAGAGAGAGGTCGAGCTTTTGTTGCACGTCTTCATTTCTGGGCGTCAGTAGTTTGGACCACCACTTCTTGGGTCTTGGGTCTTGGGTCTTGGGTCTTGTCTCGCTGTACGTACTACGTACGTAGTACATACGCGGTACAACTACCGGTACCGGTACTACTGTAACTAACCAGCCGAAGGTTCGGCGGGGAACTTCCGGGCAGCAGCAGCCAAGCCTTGGATCAACATTTCCTGTATGTACCGTAAATCTCCGTATGCTTGGTGCTTGGCTGGGGGCCGGGGACGCACAGAGAGAGAGAGAGAGAGAAAGAGAGAGAAAGAGAGAGAAAGAGAAAGAGGAGAGAATGGAAGTTCGTTGCATGTCGTACATTCTCCCAAGGATTGCTTGATTCCAACGAAAGCCAGCCCAGAACTCTCTCTCTCTCTGTCTTTAGCGAGATCAAGGCTGCTGCCCCCTTTTCCCATCTTCATCGGCGGGAGCAAAGACTCGTCGTCAAATGACGGACACGGACGACGGGCTGCTCTTTAGGTTCCGTAGAGCTGCGTGATATTGTACAAGTACAAGTGCAACTACTACAACTAAACTAAACTACTACAACTACGTCCCAAAAGCTATGTCCACAACATGGTCCGGCCGTGGGATTTGACAGAAAATCTTAACCATCGACGATAAGGCTGAGAGGACGAGGGCCCAAAAGCATATTCAGATTGCGCTCAGCTGATCTCGACGCCCTTTCCAAATATTTCTGTTTGTTGCACATCGCAGCTCGCATGCACGAGAGTGGATTTGGTCTCTGTAGTAGTTTAGAGTCATTCCGGTGTCTCAGCGTGAACGGCGATGTTCCAGAGCATAGGTACCGTAGAGCAGCATCGTGTGCACTTGTGAAACGAAAACAACAAGAACAAGAACAAGAACAACAACAACAGCACATGACCGCCAACCTTTTCTTTTTCTTCTTTTTTTCTTTTTTTGATGCACGTCGCAGTTTTTAAGGATCTGCGTCTAGAACCTGACGGCGGCTGCTAAGCTGCTGGGACTGCTGGTGCCGGGACCTAGACCTGGACGGGGACCGGGGCTCTGATTACTCTCGGGCGCGTGCATCGTGTGCATTTGCCATTCTCCAAGCCCTGCACACGGCGGCGGGTGAGCCAGCTTCAGCTCTCCAGGCAGGGAGGACTTAGGAGGAATATGATATCGACCGGGCTGCACTTCGCTTGCAAGTGCCTCCCCAGCTCACCTGTCCTGTCCGGTCCGGTCCGGTCCCAGGAGCGGACGAGAAGTGCTGCAGAGACGATGCATGTATGCGGGATCAAAAGTATCGTGCGATGCTCGGGTCAGCAACACGGTTTGGGCGACGGTGAGCTGGGGATCACAGCTGGATGGTCACACAGAAGACCGGCAAGGGATTCTGTTGCAAGTCGCGATTTTGTGGAGATGGTCGCTTGGACCGGTCTAGAGGCCGCCGTTATTGTGTGACCGATCGGTCGCTTCCATGACTGCATCTCAGCCTCTCTACTGTACAAAGCCTATCAACTAGACCTCGCCGGTCAAACGGCATGGCAGCCGCCGAGAGGCTCTACGCTAGGATGGGGATGGGATGGATAGATTTGGATTTCTGGTGCACGCGGGCAGTTCGAGTGATCTACCGGTACCGTACCTATGCTTCCAGCCGGGCATATGTGGGTGGTGGGTGGTGGCCTGAGATTCGCGGATCCGCCCTCACCAACACTCCTCATCCCGATCTGTTACACGCACGGCCGCCTGCCGCCTGCATCAGCAAGAGAAAGATGCCGTGGCCGAAGCAGGGTAGAGAGATGTTTCCAGACTTTGTTGCACATCGTACGCATGATCTTGGGTTTCTAAAGGTGCGAGCTCGGTTAGGGAGACTTTGGTCAAGGCATGATGAACCCCGTCGGGTCTTCTTGTGTCGTCTGCGATATCACCAAAGTTTTTTTGATGCATATCGCACAAAGAAGATCTGCGCAGCATAGAGCGTTCGAGTCCCTTCAAATGCTCCCGAAGATGCAGTCTTGGTTAGAGCCACATGGCCCCCGCTCACACCTGTCTGTATATCAAATACTTACAGCGTAAGTATGCCGTAGATGATCGGCAAGATAGAGATAGAAGAGGTCTCAAGTACGGTACCGTCCGTCGATAATGTTGAAAAGGGAGGGCATCTACCAGTTCCCGTCGCGAGTGACTACGATGTTTACTACACACTCCCAGGTCCGCTAGGACTGGCTTGGGAACAGGACGTACTGCTACCGGTAGTACAACAAGCTGCTGCGGAGAAGGTCAAGTCTGAGTTTCTGTCTCCCCGGGAAAGAGTTCTGATGAAAAGTTTCGTCATCATATCGCAACGATCTGGAAAGCGTGTGTGTGTGTTGGGAGCGTTCGAAGATCACGCCGGCTAAGTAACGCTGCCGGCCATCATCACGACTGAACCCCATTGTTTTTCGGTTGTTACAAGTACCGATTCTATATTTAATGTAGATCTATTTGCATGTACGGATATATATCCCCTTATACGTCTGTTGCACATCGCAGAAGATCGTCCAGTTGCCAAGCGGGTTATTGATTGGAGAGCCGAGACCATCCGGATCCTCAGAAGTATCCAACATCCGATTCCCAAGCCTTCCCTTCCCTTCCCCGGGAAAGGCCAGGGCTTTGTTCAACCGTCGGACGGATGGACCGATGGACGGGTTTGGAGCAGTCTAGACCACGGGTTAAGAGGTTCGGGGCGTCAGCCACGGTCCGCGAGGTGTGAGGTGTATGACTGAGTTTGACTGTTCCGTCTACTCCGTACTTTCGAGCTGGAACTTTGTTGCACATCGTGAATTTGGGGATCGACAGTATAGAGTGTGTGTGGTCTGAGTTGCCAGGGAAGATCGTCGTCGCTAAGGGCCTCCAGCTCAGGGCGTATCACATCACGGAGATATCACGTGTCCCAAGCAGCTCCATGGTTTGAATCGAGCGGGCCGGTCGGGGCTGTTTTCTGGGATAGTCCAGATCTGTTTAATGTGTCCAAAATATAGATCTTGGAATAGACGCTGAATGAAGTGCGAGGTTTGCAGATCTGATATGTCACGAGCTAAAAAGCTTGGCATCAAACGACCGTCTCGTCTCAAGCGAAGGAAAAGCTCACCTCCATATTCACGTTAAGCACTCTTTCATCGGTGGTGAGTCCTTCAGGCGCCTGGACGACTTGGATTCTCATTTTATCCTACAAGTCATAGCCATGATCTGTTCCTTCCCCTCGTTTCTCTTCATCTCACACGTTCCTGGATGAGTAGTATCTCATCTCGTTCTGATTCTCATTCTCAAAACATCATCCCTTCTTCCCCTCGTCAACCAGCGCGAACCAGCGCGTGCCAAACAACATCTTTCACTTCCGTCCATCCACCATGAGACACATTGACCACAACTTTTTGAGCAATCAGCCTCCTCCGCCTCCCGAGCCTGCAGCCCCGATCCTCGCCTCACATCTCCTTGAGCTCGAGGAGAAGCAGCATCAGCGATTCGAGCGAAATGGAGGGTCGGGAAGACTGAGCACTGGGTGCAGAGACATCGATGAGCTGCTCGGGGGAGGTATCGAAAGAGGTGTTGTGCTGGGGTTGAGCTCAAGTGTGGAGGGGTTCGAGGGCAGATTGGTGAGTGGGAGTCTCGTTATTGCTACGCAGCGTGGTATTGTAAGGGCTTCAGTTGAATCGGCTCTCTCAGGTGGGAACAGTAGCGAGCCATCATGAACTCGTGATTCAAAGTCTCTTGTTGGCATGATACATCACATGCTCTCTAGGGTTGAAATGGCTCGCTTCATGGTGACTTGCTCTTAATTTTTGGTTCTCGTGATGGTCTTCTGCTACGAGAAATCTCTTCCCCAATCCCATTCATCTGGGAAGCTGGCATTCTAGCCCGAACTGCATCCTCTTTACACGAAAGCCTTGCTAACTCACCCAAGTTGTCACTACATATTCTCGCTTCGGCTCTCATCCCTCGACTCGCATCATCGAAACCTGGGACAAAGGCAACTATCATCGACACGACTGGTTCCTTCCCTGTAGCCCTCTTTTATTCGATCCTCCGGTCCCGGATCCTCGCCAACCGTTCCCAGTCGGCCCAGAACACAGGAAAGCCTGGGAATCATCCGGTCCAGAGGCCTACTAAGGATGGCGGCGGTACAGATCTCGATGCAGACTTGCAGAGATGTCTTGAGATGGTCGCCATCAGCCGGGTGTTTGATATTGAGGGGCTTTGGGAGGTGCTTGGTGAAATTCAGCAAGACATTTCCTCGGAAGTAAGCCCGAAAGGTGGTCTTGTACCAGGGCGTGGTTCCAGTGGACATGAAGGAGATCTAGACCTTTCACCCGAGATTTTCGACAGCCAAGAAGAAGACCTGATGTCGGAAGATGGACTTCCCATCCCATCCCCAGCGCCGAAAGCAGCCGGGCCAGGAGATGTACAGTGTGACGAAGTCGTAGACGGGATAGAATTCATCATCATAGACAACATGACGCACATTATGAACGAACTATTCGCCCGCAAGGAGAGGAGCGATGGTAAGGCCTCCCTCCGAGCTCTGGCTCAGGTATCCAGATACAAAGCTAAGACCTCAACAGCCCACAGCCTCCTCACCCCCCTCTCATCCACACTCCACACCCTCACCAAAACCCGAAATCTCCTCACCATCCTGCACAACACCACCACCACCACCGCCGCCCCCACCAAAGTCTCCTACCAGCCGCAACCCAATCGACAGCAACTGCACACCACGACGCAGAAATCCATCTTCGCATCCCCCACCACCAAGCCAGCCTTCGGGCAGGTCTTCTCCCAGTTTCCCGACCTACACATCTTCCTGCACGACCTGCCGAGGGGCCGAGTCGATGCCGAGATCCTCTACGGGCAGGACGAGGAGAGCTCGCTGGGTGAGACCGACGCCGTGACCTGTTGCACCGTCGTGGAGGTTCTGAAAGACGAATGTCCGCTTCACGGCTCTGACAGGGATATCATGACGACGGGGCAGAGGTTTGGATGGCGCGAGCAGAGGTGGACGGCAGTCGAGATCAACGAGGCCGGGACGGACCTGGTTGCGACTTTCCTCGATGGGGGCGGGGGCGGGAGGAGGTGAATACCTATCGATGGAGGGGGCTGCTTTTTTTTTGGAACGAACGGGGGGTGTATGTAGGAGATGTGGTCCAGGATGGTGGGGATTTGAAGGGCGGAGGGGTCGAGGCTAGGTCACAGAGGGGATTAAGTACGCATAGGTAGACTACCCGTACCGGTATGAGCACCGGTCGGCTTTCCAATCTTCTTGCCGAGAGGGATAGACGGTTAGTTAGTAATAGATAGATAGGAATGGATCAATACTTTGCGCTCCTTGTCAGATATCGTCCTCGTTTCAATTTTATTGGAGATGCCGTTTGCAGCAAGCACGCCCTGTCCGTCTATCTATGATTAAGGTATCTATAACAAGCAGTAAACCGCCATATCCCAGCTAGCACAAAAGCACAAAAGCACTTCCGTAGTATACCGGTACAATCACCATCCCAATCCACAAGCAGCAAACCCCTTTCCCCCTTCCTCCCCACAGCCCCCATCCCAACTCGGAAAGCAAGCGTGCATATCAACCTACCAGCCAAAGTGGGGAAAAAAAAAAGCAAAAAAAGAAAAGAAAAGTCCTCCCTTTCCTTGTCCTGGCGACGACGACGACGACGAGAGGGAAGTGAACTGCTCGAAAAGTGTATTGGGATGGGACGGGGACGATGAATAAATACCAGGTACAAATTACCCCCCCTTTCCTCACATCCGTCCGTCCCTCGTGACAGAAGTGATAGAGTAGGTAAGGTAGGGAGCTCGTCGGTGCTGCAGCCGTGAGAAGGCCGCTATTGAAGGACCCCAATCTCAACCAGGCAGTTCTGCTGCGACATGGGAAAGACAATAACGACCTCCATGATCGGGCCACATGGTTGCCCAGTCGTCGTTCCTGTCGCACGTGACTCACTCACTGTCAGCTCCACCCTGACAGAATCCAATTTTCCACGGGCAACCGACGTGTCACCCGGCATAGAGAGGTATTCCCCGAAAGCACAATACGTCAAGGATATCAATTCACCTCCGCCCATCTGGTTATTATTCACACGAATTGTCTTCCACTCTCAATCTTCCAAAGCAGCCTGAAACGCCATGCTGTCGCAAACGACGAACTTAGGTATACTCTAGAACCTTTTTGCTTGCCTGCCCGCTCCCATCCCTATTCTGTACACTTGCCGGATATCGTCGCGAAGAAAATATAATTTCGAAGTCAAGGAAACGATCAAAAGAAAAGAGCCGTTCATGCCGCCCATTCGACTACTTCCAGGGCGCACATTACGAGGATGAGAGTTGAAGGCAGGATCCTGCTTCCCGTTAGCAAGGTAGAGTGGAGAACTGGGGACTGGGTAGCGTACCAGATAACGTAGCTCTGAAACAGCAATTTGCTCATTACGCCCTCGTAAACACCGTTGATCTGACAAATCTGCGCCAGTTGCAACGCGCTCGGCGCACCCGTGAGTAAGAAGCAGACGATGACGAAAATGGGATCGTCGAGGATGCTGACTGGTACGTATTTCGCCGCAAGAGCAAGCAGAGGCGCCATGATGAGCGTCGGGAGCAACATGCGCGAGATAAGCGAAGCAACCAGGAGCTTCGTGCCAATCTTGTTCTCCTCGGAGTTCTCGTCCAAAGATTCTTTGGGGAGAGTGTTGCGAGCCAAGTTGGCGCCGAGAACGACTAGAATCAAGGGGACAGCGACGCCACCGGATTGCGAAATGGCTCGGGTAACGGAGTTCGCAATGAAGGAGCCGTCGGCGAAGAAGAGGTGCTGGAGTTTGGGGATTGAAGCTACGATGATGGCGAGCAGCATGGCCCAAAGAGGGGGGTTCATGAATTCCCAAGCGCTGGCGAAGAATCTGAAGAAGGCGGAGTACGTGTATGCCAGCGCGGTTTGCACGGGGGAGGGAAGAGCCCCAAAGACCTTTTGCGAAATTCGCTTGCTTTTGTGGGTGACATGGAAGAGTCCACGTCTGGACTTCAGATGGACCATTGGAATGATTCCTCGGACACCACGGGGAATTTCCCAGTCGTCGCCCGGAGCAGGGGCTCGGATACTTGGGAAAGAGGTTATGTTGCCGCTCAAAAAGTCACTAGGTAGGACATTTCCATTTGCGGGAGTCGGATTGATAGTTTTGATGGGCTCGTCATCGTCCGAATCCACCGAGTCTGGATACTGGGCGTTTGTGATGGGGGTCCTTCCTCCAGACTCAAACGACACCGTAGACGAGGAATTGTTCCCGTGCAACCTCCGGTGTTCCTCGACGTTGGAGCCATCCAGACCAGGAATCAGCTCCGGGTCGTCTGTATATCGGGCTCCTTCAAGATCCGACGTCTCCACCACTTCGTACTTATCGGGTGATGCGAGCAAGACGTGGTACCCCCAACTCCAACGTACCAATTGTCCAAGTTGTTGGAAGATCAGCAGGTAAAGAATACCTCTTGCTGCCACGTCGTCGTCGTTGTCTCCTGGTATCTTGTCCCAATGTAATCCGCGCAGGGTTTGCGATAGCGAGATGACGAGCGAGATGGGGAGCGAGTTGGAATTTCCAAACACCTGTAGCGCTTAGCGACTTGCAGAGACCAATTAATGCATGGAGCACCAAACTTACACCCATAGCCGTGACGAAGTTGCCAGCTCTCTTATTGAATCCAAAGCCCCTTGAGACAGCGATGGACACCAGGTAGGAGACCGTGGTCTGGATCACGAAGATGACTGGAATTACAGCCAGCTCCAGCAGCTTATCCGCAGTCAGTTGGGACGCCAGTTTGGTGAAGACTGTTGCATGTTAGTTAGCCAGCTATCCTCATTCGCTTCCCCGGAGATCCATCTGTCGTCGTGCACGTACTCAGACACGGCGTGAACAGAGAAACGTTCAAATTCGCCACGAATTTCTGCTGATCGGCATCGAACATGCCTTGCCTCGCGACAATATATCCCGGCAAGCTAACACACACCACTTCCATCACGGCCTCGAAGACCAGCAGGATGAGATGGCCCAGGGCGGGATGCGAATCATGATCGTTGCGTGTATGGAGGGAGGCGAAGTTGGTGAGGGTATGGGAAGTGGCGATATGTGGGCTGGAGTCGCCGCCTGCAACGAGGACGTTGAGGGGATTGAGGCGGAAGGAGGTGGGGTTTGTGAAGAAAGGCATGGTGGTGGTGGTGGTGGTGGTGGTGGTGGTGGCGAAGGCGAAGGCGAAGTGATATTGAGGTAGAGCTGGCGGGGCGGGTGAGGAGTGACCTTCTCGACCGTTGGAGTGATTTTTGCAGTTGTTGTCGATGGGCGAGGAGAGATGCCGGGGCCCCTCGCGAAGGAGGAGGTGGAGGTGAAGGTGGAGGCAGCTTTCTACAGTACGTAGTATGTTGAAGGTTCGACAAAGTTTGAAAAAAGAAAGGTTGAGTTGTTTTTTTTTTGGTTGGGCGGGTAAGATAGATCAGGGGCCGGGACCGGGACCGGGACCGGGACCGGGCACAGCTGGGTGGGGGG